AAACAAGCATGGACCTCTGGAAGACCACCATGGTACTTACTCACACAGAGGGCTCAATGACCACCAGACCAATCCAAATACGAAGTGGCATCTTCCAAGGGGATTCTCTCTCTCCACTTTTGTTCTGTCTGTGTCTGGCTCCACTGAGCATAATATTGAACAACACTGGGCACGGATATGAGATACAAGGACACAAAGTGAGCCATCTCTTCTACATGGACGATCTCAAGACCTTTGCTAAAAATGACAACCAACAAGAGAGCTTGCTGCAAACATTCAAAACATTTAGTGACGATATCAAAATGCAATTTGGCTTGGACAAATGTGCAAAGGCTACTTTCAAAAAGGGAAAGCTCACCGAAACATCTGACATGCAACTTGACATCAACACTGTAATTAAGGAACTGGATCATGAGAATGCTTACAAATACCTGGGAGTCAGTGAAGGAGATGGAGTGCAACATTCAAAGATGAAAGAGAAAATCAGAAAAGAGTACTATCGAAGAATCAAACTTGTCACAAAAAGTGAACTAAATTCAGCCAACAAAATTGAAGCAATCAACGCCCTAGCTGTACATGTGGTATCATATAGTTTCAACATTATCAACTGGCAACTGAAAGAGATCAAAACGCTGGACACAAAGACGAGAAAACTGCTTACAATGGAGAGAATGCACCACCCAAAAGCTGACGTAGAACGACTATACCTTCCAAGAAAGATCGGTGGAGGAGGACTGTCTCAAATTGAAATGGCCTACAAAACAACAACAATAGGACTCAATGCCTACTTGGAGACAACTCCAGACGATCTGTTGAAACCGGCATGAGAGAGACAAGTAACTCTACTCTGTGTCACGGGAGGCTCAGAAGTTCATACAAGAATTAAATGTAACACCAACGACTATGAAAGCCCAGGAACAAGTCACAAACTTTGCAAAGAGAACCAAACAAGCAGCAAAGGAATGTGGTCCAAAGAAAATGACAGAAAAATGGGCAGAAAAACCGATGCATGGAAAATACCCCAACAGAATCAAGAAAGCCGATGTGGAACAAGAACAGACGCATCAGTGGCTACAAGTGCTGGCTTGAAGGCTGAGACTGAAGGAATGATGAGCGCTGCACAAGATCAGAGTCTAGCAACACGATCCTACCATCACCGCATCATTAACGATGGAACAGACCCTAAGTGTCGCATCTGTAATGAATTCGAGGAGACTATTGATCATATAGTCTCAGGCTGTCCGTCACTTGCAAGAACAGAATATGTCCAACGATACGACAAGGCGGCAAGCTATATCCACTGGAAAATATGCAAGCATCACCAACTCCCAGCAGCAGAAAAGTGGTATGATCCTCAACCACAGACAGTGACAGCGAATGAAAACATCACAGTACTCTGGGACATGCCGGTGTACACAGACAGAGAAATTCTTGCAGATAGGCCAGGCATCATCATCAAAAACAGACAAGAAAAGACATGCATTATGATTGACATGACAGTCCCATCTGAACGAAACGTATCCATCAAGGAAGTAGAGAAGCTAAATATAAAGATCTGGAAACTGGGGTGTATAGAATGTGGGGTATGAAGACGACCACAGTACCTGTTGTAGTTGGAGCACTGGGCCTTATCAAGAAAGGACTGGATAGGCAGGTCCAGCAAATACCAGGAAGCCCAACTGTCCGAGAGCTGCAGAAAATAGTCTTGCTTGGTAGTGCGCATATCATCAGAAAGACGCTATCCATCTCATGAACACTAAAATCGCCTCAGAGTCATGGTATGACTCCGGCATCTTAGTAATTACCAAAGGTCACAAGAATCATCACATAATAATAATAATAATAATAATAATAATAATAATAATAATTGTGCAAAATATATATATTAAAGCCTAAAATCTAAAATAAATAATATTGCCCAACAGTCGTATACCAGGAAATACCTAGTACAGCTAAAAGGGAACTCAATGTCGATTAAAATTTAATATTAGTTTTTTCTGAAGAGCAATCTTTTCAAAAGTCCAAATTCAACGTTTTCAAAATTAAGCATAATATCTCTTCAAAAGGTAACTTTTTAATATTTGCTTTGAATGCGGATTGTCAATACTATATCCAATGCTAGTCAATACTATTTCTGTCAACTGCAATAGCGCAATATCAAAAGAAGTATCCGCCAGTGTCGCCTATCATTGAAGACACAATTTTGCGTCTGTCAAGGATGTGCAGCAAGATCTACTACAGCAATGCGTTATACAGAGGCTGCACCGGTACAGCAATCACACTTACCCTCTCTCTCTCTCTCTCTCTCTCTCTCTCACACACACACACACACACACACACACACACACACACACAACGAAATAATACACACACGCTCAAACACATACACACATACGCACTTGCACGTTCCGCCGAATGAACACTCATTGGCCCTCTCCACACAAAAATCAACATTTCTCACGTTTATCTTACAGTCCACGGCTTAGTATTTTCAGTTCAATTTAAACATTTCCTTTGGCTCCGGGCTTACAGGAGAACATGTATTTGGCTTTGGGATGGTGTTAACCGTGTCTATCCTTTTTAACCCCGCCCCCAAAACACACACACACACACACACACACACACACACACACACACTTCATTTATTTATTTATTTATTTATTTATTTATTTGTTCATTTTTTATGTGCAATGATTTATCCTATTTATATAACATCCATTTTGTTTATTTTTTGTTTCATTAGCAGTGGCGGATTCAGGGGGAGGTGTCATGGGGTCCTGACCCATCTTCGATTTCTAACAAAATCATACCAATGGTCCCCTCTTGAATTTAGACTTTTGACCAGCTGAATCATACTGCTAAACAGTACTAAATGCCACCGTTCGCTCTCTAAAATACCAAAATTTTTCGGGGCCCTTCAGACGGCCCCCAATATCCTGCCAAGAGGGGGAGTGGGGTCAGCTTCAAATCCGCGGACCTCCCCCCCTTTCACATAATCCTGGACCCGCCCCTGAATAGATATATCATTTGAACCATATGGCCCAGACGTAATAACTTTGTATAGCATACACTATACGAAGCTATACGA